AAAAGGGTGTCTCCGATTTTTGATTCATTGCCCCGTTGCTTTTTTATGCGCTCCTAAAGTTATGACGCTGCTATATCAGCTGTATCCGAGCCAAAATCCACGATAACTTTGGAAATAAACAAAAAATCAAGAATCGAAGACATATTTTTGAAGAACAACTATCCAAGATGACTTCCTCAAAATTTCAGTTAAATCGGTTAAATTCCCTTTGACAACGAACTCAAAATGTACGTGTAACTGAACGCAAAATCACTTCCGAGAAAAACGCAAAATCGTTTTTCAAGCCAAGAAGTGCATTTGTTGACATAAGGGGATTACGGACACCAAAATGTGTTCTCAATGACAGATAAAGTATCCAGAAACCAAAAGATCTAATTACTTTATCACTGTTATTCAGGGCGGGAAGTTSAGATAAATTCCTAACTGAACTTTGGTTATTCAGTACCGCTCAATAGTATTTTTTTAGGCATTCATCGCTATTATTCAAGTTCAGACATGTTGTTTGCTCAGTTTACGCCTAACTAAAGAGAAAAGCAAGCAAACAGCAGGGAATCAAAACAAAGGCCCAAAAGCGTCCAAGGTAAAACAACAATGGCTGATAGAGACGTAACGACAGATCGTTGACAAATAATGTCAACAACAAATCGAAAACTCAATTAAAGCTAAAAAGTCGTTTTTCGTTTATTTCTCGCTATTAAAAAACGCTATTGGAAAATCATTTTTGGAAAATGATAGCTTATTGTGCATTCTCTCGGAAAATGTAAAAACCTAAAAACCAATCTTTCATAGCAATTTTGGGTTTCCCCTGATACCTTAAACGAGTAAATACGGTATGCACGAACATTCATCAAYTGTTAATCAGTGGCTAACAAACTTGTAGCCCTCGTTCCGTGATCGAATAGCGCAGCGCAAYCGTGACGTCATAAAAACGAAGACAAAGGCGAAATTCGGACAAACAAACTTACAAGTTTACTTTCAGCAGAWAATTTTCACAGCCGATCGCAGTTGATCTTAGTTTACATGGGTTATTATCGTAACTTTAAGTAAAAATAATAAAATCGGTTCGTATAATCCTCGTAGCGGTTTAACAGAATGCAATGTTTGTCTGAATCTTTAAGCTATTTTTAGAATCAGTGCACTTAGCTTATTGGAATTTAGAATTTGATTTTTACGGAGGCAGGAAACCGAAGAAACACCCTCGAAGCACATGAGAGAACGAACAGGAAAGTCTAGAGTTGGCGAAACACGTTGAAATGCCGCGGCCGCTTGTTTCGTGTTACCTACTTTAAGGTTTTGACGCCGGCATCAGTTTCAGTTTATTTCAACATTAGCGTCTATATATCTGTTATAAATATTTAAGACTTAAGGTGGAACCAAACTAATTCAGAGCGAATTTAGGACAATTTTATTCTCGCTCCCTTCGCAAACCTATTACGACAATTTAACTGTGTTTTTCATATAATGTGCTTGGATTATCCTAGATTCTAACAGCGTATTTTATTTTAAGCTTTTTMAAATGTTTAGCCTATTACGACCAAAAATCAAACAGTGCTGTTTTTAGTTTTTGGCTTTTTTCTCATCATCCTTAGATACGATTKTTCTAAAATTTTCAGAATCTAATCATCCAGTACTATTGCAGCCTGTGTATCAATTTGGATGGAAAGTGTTGGGCAGAAAAAAGTTATGATGCCGCTTGAAAATTCAATCCAAAATTTGAAGCATATAAGACATCGCGCTGTAGAAACATTAACATTGAATGGATTGCCTAGGAGTTTTCACATATCTATTCATGTTTCCAAGACGCATGGAAACATTGTTTCCCGATGTTTCCTGACAGTTTTGCCACCTTAGGAGACATTTAGGGTAACATGTTTCTGGAAACATGTTTCCTCGTTAAGCCAGGACCTTAATATAACGGTGGTTCTATTCTTTATATTAACTAGATATTTATTCAAATGCTGTTATTTCTTTTGCTGAAACAATCATATATATATTTTGCTACTATTTTTTGTATTGATTTCTTTGGATTTATAATAAAAGCAAATTTTTCTTCCTTTTTCAACCAATTTTCTATTCGTAATTGTGTTATATTTTCAATCTTATCAATAAGGTATTTTCTTTCATTATAATAATTTGGACATGTTAGTAGGAAGTGTAATTCACTCTCTACTTCAAGTTGGCATATCTGACACACTCTTTCTTCTGGTTTGGTATATGGTCTTGTATATCTACCTTTTTCAATTTGTAATTCTGTGTTTAATGTTAGTTACCTCTCTTAAGTACTTCTCTCGCTTATAATATATTCTAAATGTTCTATATGTTCTTAATTTATTTTTCTGTGAGTCTTTTCTTCCCGAATCGTTATGAATGTCTGCAAGCCAAGTTTGAAATTCTTGATCTTCAATTCTTTGTCTAATGCTTTTCATCAGCTTAGTTAATTGGTATTCGGTCATTCTCTCACTTGTATTTTGCTGCCATAAATAGCTTAGACCTAACTTATCAAGGGCTAATTTTATTTTCTCTGTCCATCTCGAATTGTTCGAAGTCTCTGAGAAACTATAAGATATTGTCTGATCTGATCGTACACTGAATACAYCCACGTAAAAAATACTGAATAAAGTATAAAAATTCAGGTGATCGATCATTGGGAAGTCATCGTGGACAAATATCAGCACATTTTCCTTTTCTAGATTTACTTTTAGTCTAGTTTAGCAGCTTTACACCTAGCATCTTGTTAGCGAAATTATGCAAATGAGCTATATTGTTTACGTGCAACATGCTCATTTCTTTTGGCTTCAAGTCCAGCCGATCACAAATAAAATACCGTGCTATATACAAATGCTGTTCTTACAAAAACTACATACTGCAATCAAAGTATGAAGTTTAAATGTTGACATTGCTATATCCAAATGTGACTTTTGAATGATTTTATACCTGGATGTATTCAGTGTACGATCGACGCGTCAAAATGTGAAAATGTAAGTACGAATGAAGCTGCCTTGCAACAAGAAACAATTGTCCGCGGCATTTCAGTCGGGAAAGCTATAAGAATAAGTGATCTTTCTGGGAAAATTAGTGCCTTTAGTGTTTTCAAGCTACTACATTGGTTTTGGACTGTTTGAACTTCGGCTCTTTTGATCTTCCATATCACAAAGGACAAAGTATACCGCAAAATTGTATAATATATATCTCCCTCTAAGGGACCGATCGTTGATTACGTCCCAGGGAGGGGGGAGGGGCGGCGGTGGATTTATAAAATTTCCAAATTCTTAAAAAAAGACCCCTTTTGAAATCTTTCTTCCTAAAACATACCCCCCCCCCYCCCCCAACACACACATACACAGGCAAAATTTTTAGTTTGCACGTGGAATGTACGAAGTTTTATCTAGTCTCATGTGTTGCGAAGATGGGAACGGCAAAGGTTAAAGTATTGCACGGTCCTTCCTACGAAAGATGGAAAGTTTTAAACTTTGATCGAAGTGAGTTCCTCGCCATGGGCTTTGATTTAATTCACTTTTAAAATCTCCACCGCGATTGAATAAAGATTGTTCTTCATAGCTTTCACAAAACTGCTTCCAAATTTTTCTTACTGTCTTATAATCTTAAATCTTAAGGTCATCGCTCCTTCTCTGTACTGTAGCTGCTCCTGAACTCTGGAACTCACTGCCAATATCTCTCCGAAATGTATCACATCTGGCCTCATTCAAAACTGAACTTAAAACTTATCTCTTCAAATTACCTTATTCTTTGTAAATAATTTTCATTTTGTCGTTGTCTTTGTCGTTTGTAATTATCCTTTTTACAAGCGCTTAGAACAGATTTGTATTTGCGCTTTATAAAAAAATATTATATTGTATTATTATTATGTTATATTATAAAATGATAACTTAAATTCTTGCGCAAATGAAGAGAAACTAAGTARAAAAAATCCTGTAATACTGTCTCCTCCTTGCAGTAGAATACAGTCAATGACCAATCTTCTCATATCGTTCGAGAGGGAAGCTCCAGGTAAATATGACCTTCCAAATTTTTAAACTCTTAATTGCATTTTTTTTTACTTCGCGCTTAAAGTGTAGAGAGTTTTGATATGAAACCAGGGCGGGAGGAACTTAAAGGAAGAGCCGCATAAAACTTCGTACGTTCCACGTGCAAACTAAACGTTTGTCGACGCCACCGTAAAAGTTTCACATGTCAAACTTGACAGTTATATGTGCCAAACGTCTGGCAAAAAAAAAAGTTTGGCGCGTCACGCTTCACGATAGTTAGCAAATAGTAGTATGTTGTTCTGAAAAACAATTCCAATATGGAAGAATCCTTCGTTTATTTTTCAAAACTGGTGTCCTCAATTTGTCGCGACCAAGAACTAGTCAGTCCATACCATATTTTCACCGCCTCATCCCCCTGGGACGTAATAAACGATCGGTCCCTGATAAGACACATAAATACAAAACTGTTATTTTTAGCCTCAATATATGTTTTTCTAAACTTCTTTGTCTAGCTTTAGTTTCTTTTATATTGGCCTTCAGGCTCAAACGGTACTGTATTCAGTTTTCTACTTATTTTCCCAGAAAGATCACTTATTCTTATAACTTTTCCCGACTGAAATGCCACGGCACTTGTTTCTCGTGCGAGGGAGCTTCTGGCTTACCTATTTTCACCATAGTTAATGGACCGGAATGGTTAGGAAACCTATCGTTCTATGTTTTTGTTCGTGTTTATTCATTGTTATATGACGTTGACAGTGCACAGTGAAGGAAAAGTTTCTCCATTTGTTCACAGTATTAGGAAATATAAAAGTTTTTTATCCTTAAAAATCGTTCTAAAATATGTATTATTTGTTAATTAATCCTATGTGATTAATATCAATTGTTTATTGAAAATGCAATTGCCCTTTTTAATGCTTTTTTATTTATCATCTAGTAATTGAGCTGTACCTGCACGGAAACATTTATTCGCATGGTTTTTGGTCATGGAATGAAAGTTTTTACTTTCAAATTGTCCATACATGAAAATAATAAAAAAATGAGCATTTTCAGCCATACTTGCTTTGGTTCATTGTGCACCGTCAGTATCACGTGATGTTACGATTCAACATCAAAGGTAAAATAATAGCTTTGTTCTATGGAGTTTCCAAACCGTTCTGCTCCATCAACTATGTTTTCACGTTTCGACGCATCGATCGTACATTGAATACATCCACTTAAAAAGTACAAAATACATTATAAAACTTCAGGAGATCCTTGAAAAGTCACTAAAATTGTCTTTGGAACTTGTGCGAAAAAATGTTAGTATATTTTACTATGATTTRTTTTTAGTCTAGTTTAGCAGCTTTTCATAGCTAACCTAGCATCTTGTTAGCTGAATTATGCAAAGCTATATTATTTACATGCTCATTTCTTTGGGCTTCATCAAAAGCGAGCCGATCACGGATAAATTATCGTGCTATACAAATGCTGTTCTTAAAAAAACTACATATTGCAATCAAGGTACTAATATTACTAGTATTTAACGTTGATAATTAAATATCTCAGGCAGCTTATCCAAGACTGAAGTCTTCACATGGATGTATTATTAACATATTATATAGACGTACGCGGTAACCGACCGCTTTCATTCAGCCAAAGTCATTCAGCCTACAAGTAGAAAGCGTTCGGTTACCGTGTACGTCCAATATGTTAATAATACATCCATGTGAAGTCTTGCAGTGGACGTCTAATATGTTAATGATACATCCATGTGAAGTCTTGCAGTGGACGTCTAATATGTTAATGATACATCCATGTGAAGTCTTGCAGTGGACGTCTAATATGTTAATGATACATCCATGTGAAGTCTTCAAGCGCTAAGCCCCGTTTACACTGGCGATTTTTGCGGCGATTTTTGCTGCGTTTTTTGTGGCAATTTTCGGAAATATGAAATCTTTTGTCTCATCCTTCAAAAGAGACATTCGTCTAGGAAAATCTTGGTATCCTGAAAAAAACTACAATTAAATTCTTCACCATTATTTATTATGGACAAAATTGCAAAAAATCGCATGATCTATGATCGATAAGAGGACAGTAAATGGAAAGTATATAAGCGATTCGTTTTTACGATAAAATCTAAAAACCATCTAAAAGCAAGGAAACAGCTTGAAAGTTTTAAGCTCACGTTGGCTTCATGCATGCGCGAGCATTGACGATCATGTGATGCATGGCACGAGCGCTTCGTCATTCTGTGTGTCTGTGGTTTGTTTTGTTTATTAATATTTATTTTACGAGGGTAAGATTAATTAACTCTCTCTGTTGTGGAAAGTACTGCTGTTTTTCATTTGCAATACATCCTTATAACTGAAATGTATGGTTTTGTACACTTAGATAGGTTATTTGACTTCAGAATAATTCTTGAATTTACGTCATCTCATTTGCATATTGATATTTCAATTTTTTCATATCTCTGCAAAGAGAAGACCACATACAAAAATACTGCAACCATACTACTACACTGTTCACATATAAGGTATTTTGAAAATGATACATTRAAAACGCAATATTATCAGATTTTCTCCCAGCTTCTGAGGGCTTCTTTCGACTTAGAGGGAGCAGCAGAATGTTCTTAAATACTAAATGCTAATATTAAGTACTAATATGTAATAATAACAACTGGGTAGTTAAAAAACGAGGTGGTCTAGTTAGGGTGATTGAGCGAATGAAATGTAATAATAAATTAAATGAATAAATATATAGAGTACAAACACTAAAAGTGTGCAACACTTTGCACTATTGAGTACTAAATAGCGCTAATTACTCGGGCTTCCGCAGGAACCCGAGTCTAAAAATGCAGGCCGTTCTTTTTCGTCGTATTTGGTCGCCAAAATGGGGATCATGGTCCCAGGCGTTCCTAGTTGAGTCGCTGGGAACTGGGGATGAGAATCATAACCGCATGCTAATCAATGCTAATCTAAACCCTGCTTTCTTCGTTCCTTCTGCTTCGGTTCGTGGGATTAAATTTGTTGCGTGAAGAAATCTTTGGAAAGTGCTATGCCTTATATGATCATCCCACATACAAACGCACTCGCCATTCGTGGTAGGCCCACACTGAAAGATGTAGAGCTTTTTCGGAACAGGTCGGTCCACGAATCTCATAGCTTGAAAGCTTACTAGCCAAATTCATACTAGTTCTCACGAGGTAACAAATGAGCTATATATTCGAGAACAAACCTCGAAAAAACTGCTAAAACTATGACTAGTGACTCAACAGAAAACTATGACGCTGAAATGAACCACTCAGTTGTTGAAATAACAGAAAATCTCCTAGAGCAGAGCCTCGAAGGTGAAGCAAACGACAACAACAAGCAAATCGCCATATTGGATAAAGAATATAGTAAGCGAAACAACTTGAAAAGTAAATATCTAAGTTTAACTTTCTTGTTAAATATCCTGATTCATTTGTTTGTTTTTGCTGTATTCAATAGTCGTAAAATACGATTTGATTTTGCACAAATAACTATTTGTGTTTATATCGTACAAGTGATTGTGAACATTGGTTTGTATTACGTATGGAGTCGCACGTGCTTAGTAGAAGACGTGGTAAATACTCTTGGTGTCTGTAACATACTAGAAAAAGTTATCCATTCTACAAATGTACATGAACATAATGATGTTTYAGTGTCAATAAAGGTACAAGAATTCRGATCTCGKTATGCAAAGTATGTATTTCATAATTGTCATGTCGAATGTGATAGYCATGGCTCTAGACGCGATCATGAACCAAGCAGGGTACCAGTGAACAGATTAAGACGTGTCTTTCAGAAAAACAGAAAACTAAGGAGTTATGTATGCAGAAATGTAATTAAAAACACGCCTAAGCCATCGAAAGTTCATTGTCTTATTAAAAATATTGCAACGAAAAAGAGAAGTATACAGTACAAACCAGGTATCAGATTTGTACAAAAAATGAGAAGGAAACCAATATTTAGAATAGGAAAACTTAACTCTTCAATGAGATATGTTTACAATTCCAGTACAGATAAATATAGGGATAAATATCTCAAATACGTAAGGTGGTTTTCGTGTAATTTTCCATATAGTGAGTATAAGGGTTTAGATCATAAAAGCAACTGTGCAACTTACAAGCTTTTTAATGATATAGAGAAAAACCCAGGTCCTGTCACCCACCATGTTGATGCAAGTAAAACAGTAAGTGCAGCATATAGTCAAGGGAATGTTGTCATATATTTGGAGAAAATGCCGGGCAACAATGTGTTGCAATGAGTTTATGTGTTTTAATTTATCACCAAATGAAAGGGATTACCAACTCTGATGACTTAAAACAAATCATGCATATTGGGGATCAATTGTATAGCAGTTTGTCACAACTTGTACAACAATCGTTTTTACTGCGATTTTTACCGATTCAATATATTTCACGAAATATAAATTACGGTTCTTTTGATAGTAAACTCAGAAGGGGGGGGGGATGACCCTAGTCTCCACAGCAGCCGTTAAGAACGAGTAGTATTACACCAAGAGAACTATATGTACACTGTCTTTCGCCTGTCATTAATTACATTGTACAGGACGCATTTCAGTTTCAAGAATGAAACTTACGGCATGGTCCTTACTGTGCTGTGACTGTGTTCGTAAGCATTCTGATTGGAAAAGCAGTTATCTCTCRCGCTCTACTAATAAAGGGTTGACAGAATGCTGCCATTTTCGTAACACAAACGTACCGTGACTTCACACGCAAGAAGAAGCCCGAGTACACGATCATGGGTCGTCTAGTTAAACAATAGAAAACGGGTGCAGCTAAACACTGAAACACTGAGACACCGAAACAATCAAAATACAAATTACACCATACATAATGTCAGTATTTATTTTCATCCATTTCGAATTCAAACTGAGCAATAACTGGCTTATTTTTTTTGAATTTTAGAATATTTTGAACATTATGTCTGTAACCGATCTGTCATCACTTACTAATCTATTTTTCTTTCGTCCCTCCCTCCCCAGCCCCCTCCCCCAGG